CAGTTGGGAAATGAGATAATCTATGACCTTTAGGACCTTACAGGTCATAGTACTATAGAAGGTGATAAAGAGAAGGAATATTCCCATCCTGGAATATCCCAAAATGATAATAAGCTAAGTGAGAATAATCTTGCAAGGACTAGCCAATACGTGAGGTATACATCAACAGTGAACAAATACCAGGACGTATATATATACGTCGCCGGGAGCTAAAGGGTTAATATCAATGAAAAAATAAATGATCAAAATGTGTGATATTTACTAAAGAAACTACCATTGATCAACATATTTTTATGGTCTGTGAATATAAATAAATGCAGAAATCAAATATCGCCTGGACTATTCTTTTTTGATTTGATTAAACAATGGAATTTCGATTGAAGCAAATAAACATCAAGGATAACGGAAGACAAACTTTACTCAATCTAAAAGTTTCATTATCTATGAAACTTCAACACTGATGTCTAATAACATTTAAAGAAAAAATTATCATCGCCATGTTGTTTTCTAATACAAAAAAAAAATGATATTACTAATTAATTTTACCTAAGACAACACTTGACTTTTATTTGATTTTCTTTTTCTTTTTGCAAAAACAAACAAAAAAAAAAACCGAGACATTACTAATCAAAATCTTCAGTTCCACCATCGTTCTTCGAAAAAAAAAAAAAATCCTATGTCTTTTTTTTTGTTGTTCTGCTTCGCTGTACAGAATTAGTTATAAACGAAAAGAAGAAAAAATTCCAACAAGAGACATACACACAGGTATTTTTACATTGTAGTGGACATGAGAATAAAGAATAGGTCATCATATAAAAAAAAAACATACATAATATATATTATATAAAACAAAAGAGAAAAGATAGACTATGGCTGAAAATTGCCATCGGCACTGTCATCATCTGAATCGATCATAACTTTTCGTCGTTTATTTGTACCACCAGATTTTTTCTTATTTTTTGATATTAATGATGTTGTTGGTAATAATTCTGTTATAGATTGTATTGTATCATCTATATCTGTATCAAATGCAAGTAAATAACGTTTAAAATCTGCAAAATCTTTTAAAATTTGTTTACGTCGTTGAATATTATCTATATGATTTGATGGTTTTATTGTATCAAGAATTATTTTTGGTTCAAATTTAACATTTATTTTACGTGATATTATTGGTCGATCAGTTATTTTACTACTTTCAGTATGATCATATTCAGTTATTTTAGTATCATTTAAACTATAAACATCTTTAAGATAAGATTTTAATAATAATAATAACATTGTAGATTTTGATGTACGTAAACATTGATTTAATTCATCAATAATTATATCTGATAAATTTAAAAATTTATCTTCTAATTTATTTATATCAATACCTTCATCATCATCAATATAATCTAAATATTGTTTTAATAAATCACGAAATTGTTGTAATTGTGTTGAACCACTAACACTAACTGATAAATCAATTTGTTCAATTAAATATAATGGTTCATCTTGTACTTGATATGGAAAATAAGCTAAATTATCAGCTACAAATAATTGTTCTTCAAGTGTTGTTGATGTTGTTGTTGTTGTATCATTATCAAACATTTTTAATAATTGTGATATTAAACCACGACGATAAACACGTGATGAACGAATTAATGAATAAAGAAAATGATTTACTGAACAATATGGTGATTGTTGATTATTTGCAGGAGTTATTGCTACTTTTGTCATGCCTAAAAATCAACAAAAATTTATCAAATATTGAATTCATCTATGCAACGCTTTGTCAAAAAAAAACACAAGGATTATTTGATTCTGTGTACGAATCAGTACAATAATATTTTCTGGGAAATTTTAAACTATTACTCAAGAGCTATGGAAGTGAGACTGAATCTTCCTTACAGTGTGCATTTTTCTCATAGTAGACGAACATGTAACTTTCGTTTTCAAAGGCAGGTTCTATAGAAAACCTGCTGTATGATTCAGGATTTGCATCGATGAAAGGGTGAATTTGGTTTTTCTAACTAATGTCCGTCCGGATACACAATTATACTTCTCCTCTCCAATAATTGAAAGTTATTCATTATTGTCCAGTAAAACTAACAAGACTTTTAAAATTTTTATTAATCTCATGAGACTATTTTCTTATACACGCCTCTAATCTTAGAATCTTTACGCAGGATCCTCAAGTCATACTCTAAAAGTAAGAGCCAATTATAACTCGATTATTGTCAAATTTAATTGCCTGAAAAATGTGTAGAGTGTGTTAGTAGCAAAATACAAATAATTGATAAAAAGTATCCCGTATTTTCCTAGCGATTCGAAAAAAAATCAGACTAAAAAATTTCGTTAAAATTAGGAGTGTAATATATTTCATAACATGTTGATTATGCTACAGAACTCAACATCGTAAGGTGCCCTTGAGATTGAAAGAGTTTGGGAAACATAATTTTTGCAAGTAGTTGAATTCGAATTTGAACAGAAATACATTTCAGAGCAATGTTATATGTGTGTTATCGGTCTAGATATCTACAATGGACTCAAAATTCTTCTATATTTTTATATCGAAAAATATTAAAATCGCAAGTACTAAAAATTAAGCTCTCATTACAAAGCAAATAGAAAAATTGTTTCCACTCGATTCGATATACTTTACTTAACAATCGATCGGAAGTAATGTGAAAATTTGTTCTTACCTCTAATAACGTCAAATTGTGAATTTGTCTGTTGATTATTTTTATTATTATTTGCTATAGCAAGTAATTTTTGTAATTGATAACTCATTTTAAATCCATGCATAACTTTTGTTTGTATTATACCAGGATTTGTTTTATCTAAATCTTGTAAATTTTGTTCAGCACTTTGTTGTATTGTTGTATCACGATCAGTTGTCATTGCAATAAGATATGGAATAAATTGTACAGGATGAACAAGACCTTGTTCTAATATACATGTTACAACTTTTCGTACACATTGTCGTATTGTTTCATCTTCACTTAAATATGTATCTAATACAATACGTAAATAACATTGTGCTATTGAACTAGCCATTTCTGAATGTACATCAGTTGTATCTTTAAGACTAGCACCTGTTGGACCACTAGCATCATTGCTATTTTCATCATCATGTATTGTTGTTGTTGTTGTTGTTGTTATTGAATTTACTGTTGATGTTAGATGAAGATAATCAACATCTTGTTCAGCCATGCGACGTATACAATCACGAAAATATTCTTCTAAATTTATTAAAACTTGACAACGTAATTGTGCAGCAGCTGGACGACGATCAAGTAAATATGTATGATATAATTGACGAACTGTATCACGTATAAGATATTGTCCATAACGTTGTAAAAAGAAACCAAGACCAACAAGAGATTTTAATTTAACAACTGATTCAGGTCGTTGAACAAGAAATATAAATAATTGAAAAAGATCATCAACAGAAAACTACAAAAAAAAAAAAAAATTATTATTTTACATCATCATTAAAAGTATGTCAAATTCACGAACTTTAGATTCACTTCAATGGCAATGTCTAGGGAAAAATACTGAACTACTGACTGTTCATTAACTATATTGAGTTGATGGTCAATAAGCTGAAACTACATATCCAAATGTTAAAAAGAAAATAGCCATTTTATTTAAAAACTTGTGATATTTATTGACAAAATAATTGCTCGAATATGCTGATATCACAATCAAACTGCTATAGCTTCGATAAGACTGATCGGGTAATGTCGAATGACACTTGTACAGTCTTAACTCGTTCACGAAAGTTTTTACATACTGATTTTTATTGATCATAATTTAAATCTCTGACAGAAGGAATTATCAATGTAGTAGATCCTGTACTGTACTAGTTAATAGGATATATCTTCCTTTTTGTGAAACACGATCTGAAAGGAGTGTTGAAGTGTTTAGGGTAGAAATTTTGGACCCCCCCCTCCCCCACAGACCGTGACAGAGAATCCGGGTACCCATCATAGACCGTGACAGAGAAACAGTAGTTGTAAAGCATCAGATATACGGTCAGCTACAAATGTGTCGTAAGGAAATGGAACAAAAGGATTTCTATTTAATTAGTAATAATAGGTCCATCGTGTTTCACATTTTTAATCCCGCAAGGGATTGCGCTAACAGCTTTTTTTATGCATTACCATAAAAATCTTGAATAGTAGCATGACGAAAGAAAAATCTACGAAATAGTTCGGTACTTTCGAACAAGGGAAGTCCTCAAGCTAACTAATCCCTTTTTAATCAAGGACTGTAATGAGCTTTAAATATCTTGAGAAGAGTTCGAACCAGGAGCGTAATCATGAATTTTCTTAGGGAGTTGTCCGACTTTTTATAAGTGCATTTTTTTAATCCGTACTTCATCTAGATATTTTTTCTCGATGTCACACTGAGATGGATTACAGCATTAGCCTAAAACCCATGATATCTGCAGTTATAAACTAAAAGCACTATTTAATAAAATTCTCGACAATTTCAAAACTCTCTGATTATATTGTTAATTTTGACTTTAAAATTCCTAGTTGACAACTATTTCGTTTAAGGGTAACCCCCCCCCCTCTTTTTTGATCAAAAACTCGATTTTAAGTTGGGCATAAGGTATGATAGCCTTAAGTGTTATGTGCAATTAGAGACATCATTCGACTCTAAACACCGTACTATTACAGAGTTACTGAATTAAAGAAATTTTTTTTTTCATAGTAATCATGAGAAATTTTTTTTCTTTACTTAGCGTAACGCAAAATTACAATTCACTCAATCGTGCCTGCTTACGACCCCCCTCTAACTTTGTCCGATCGGGCTGAAATTTTTATCATAGATACTTTGAAGTATTCTCCAGAGGTAGTTTTGACCGTTTTAATTTCTGATGCTTCCATCCGGATTTATAGGGTTCGCAAGGTCAAAAACCTGGTTCTGGCAAAAAACCTTTACGTAATTTTTTTATAAAAAAAAAAGAAAGTGAGATTTTTGAAAACGCTCAAAACTACCTCTGAGATATAGTCGTAGCTATCCACAAAAAAAATTTCAGCCCAATCGGACAAAGTTAGAAAGGGGTTGTTCTTGGCAAGATGAGAACCTATGGAAAACCAAGGTTTTTCATAAAAAACCATGAAAACCGCCTTAGAGAATTTTTTCCTCGAACATGTGTCTCATCATTTTAGGTGTTCTATTTGTGGTAAAAATTTCATTTCGATCGGCCTTACCATCTTCGAGATCTAGAAATGGTCAAAAAAGAGGGGGGGGGGTACCCTTAAATCAAATAACCATATTCTTAATATTTAATCTATTAATAAATGATCTAAATTAAAAATTGATTTAATAAAAATAATCGATATACCTCAAGATCATCAAATTCAGGTTTTTCCACATCAAAATATTTACATAAAACACCTAAAATATAAATTGATCGAGCTAATTGTGCACTTCCTTTAAATTCTTCATTAGGTTTTTCTAATATTTTTTGTTGACATTGAACAACAATAGCTAAATAAAAAGAAAATTTTGATAATTATTTTTTGACACCTTGTCTTATTCACTTACAATGATATCGTATAAAAACATCTTTAACAAGTTGAGTATTTTTTGATAAACGAATAACAGCTGATAAACAAGCTATACTTGAATGTATAACTAATTGACCACTAACAAGAAGGAGTTTTGTTAAACTTCCTTCTAATGAATAAATAATACTTGCTGATGCTGATTTCATTAATGGAACCGTAAATTCAAGTATTTTTGCAACATATTGAACAATAATATTGTCATTATAAGATGTACATTTAATATTTAAATATTCAACTATAGCTGATACATGTGGTAAAACATGTTCAGGTTTAGCTTTACCTAATGCATAAAGTGCTATAAATGTTGCAACCATTTTATTTGATGAAACCTAAATAAAATTCAAAGTTCGTTTATTTTTAAAAGTAAAAAAAAAAAAAAAAACAAAATGAATCTAACTTGATCATTTGCTGATTCAATTTTAAGTATTGATTCAACTAATTCATTAATAATATCTTGTATAGCTTTTAAAACATCTTTACGTTGTTCTCGAACTTTTTTCTTATCATCAATTGATTGTTTATCATTTGTTTGAAGAAATTCTTTAACTAAATTTTCTAACCATGTATAATTTTGTTTTTGTGCATCAACTAATACATCAATTATTGTTTGAACACGTTGTCGAACATCTTGTTGATTACGTGTTGGAGAAAACCATAATTGTTGAAATGTTTCAAGTACTAATTTACGTATAGATTCTTCATCATGAATACGTCGTAATAAACGTGAACATATATCAGGTATACGATTAAAACTTGGTTGAGTTAAACAAACATCACGAAAAATTTTAACAACACGTTTTCGTACACTTACACCTATGAAATAATATAGATTTTATTGAAATAATTAAATAGAAATGATATGATAGATAGACTAGAAAAAGCCTAAGAGGTAAGATTATGGATTATTTTTTAGAATATGAGGGATTGAAAATTTGGCATAAATTGTCATCGTCGTTCTGATAAAGATCAAATAGAAGATACTGAAATCATCGACTTTTCGCAATGTTTGATTTGAGAGACGATATTTTAGGATGAATATCTGTTAGAAGCTGAGTTCAACCACTAAAATTGCCGTTCTCTCACGAGACTGTAAAAAAATTTTTCAAAAAGTTCGACATCCTCGCTCTCTCTAATCGATAACTCTGCTAAGAACAGATGAATGCAAGTTATAATTCACCTGAGTTATCAATGTTTCATTAATACCTTAATCATATTAACTTATCTGTAATGTTTCAAAATTTTCAGATGAATTATCTATGCGTAACGTAATATCGAACTGCGATGAACATCAATTTTCCGGGCAAACTAGTCTGACTAATGTCTTGATGTGCAAAAAAAATTTCATATCAAAATTCAAGAGTTTGATTCTATTGAAAAAGTTATTGTGTAAAAAGTCGATGACACAGTAAAAGTGCAACCAGCAGTCATATCCTCTGATACCATTTTTTAGTCTAATTATCTCGTACTTGCGAATAAAATTTTAGTTTAAAAGTTTTGAATTATCTACAGAGATTTCTTCGTTAATTATGATCTGTTCTTTGATTGAACACCGAAAATACAGGGCAATGGTAGAAAAACACTTTGGTCTTATACAAAATCGAGATTAGAAAATATTGTATAAATACAATACAAATCTAATTAACTGAACTCGCTGCTAATTCAGAAATATTCAGCATGTTTTTTTTTAGCAATTGTAATAGATTTCTAAATTTTTATTTACTACAAAAAACAATCTAATTGATTTGATGTTATAGACATGTTGACTTTCCCGTATACGTAATTAATATTAGTCTATCAAATTAACTATCGATTACATTCAATTATTTTATATGAAATGAATATTTAATATAGCAAAATTTAGTGCATTGAAAAACATAAAGTTGTCCTGGATAATATATTCTTTTCGACATACTTAATCATACAATATCATAATTATTTATTCTGTAACCAAAAAAAAATAATAATTTTTTTTACCTGTATCAATACTTCTTTCACAAAGAACATCATAATATTGTAAAATAAGTTCTTGTTTTTGTACAATATATCTTCCAATAAGATCAATAGCTGCTTCTCGTACACTTATACTTTTATCAGTTAAACCAACTTTAACACATGATTTAATATCATTACGTGCTAAAACAGTTGGATCAGCTTCAACAACTGTACATAAACATTTCATTGCTTTACTACGTATATTTGTTCCAGCTTCTGATTGAAATATAGCTGCTAATTGTTTAAGATAAACATCAAATGTTTTTAAAAATGGTCTATTTGATGTTAAATAACGCATTAATAAATAAATATCATCATATTCAATATCTAATGTATATCGTTGTTGTTTACGTGCTGTTTCAGGCATGGAAAGCATTTTAAGTATAGAAATTTTCTCATTTTTTTTCATTTCAATTTCATCTTCAATAGAAATTGAAGGCTTTGAATTATTATTATTATTATTCATTGATTCATCAACATCATCATCAACTAATTCTGTTTGACCAGATTTTATTCGTCTTGTTAAAGTTTGAGTTAAACGTTCTACTGTTAAATTTATATCACGAAGCCATTGGCCAATATGAAACATTTTTGCATACTAAAAATAATAATAAAACTTCTTTAATTTTTCGAAAGTATTTAGATCTAACGATGAAAATCCTCAAACAAAATGTTCGCTTTTGAATCAGAACCCAAGATATGCGGAAGAGCAAGTTTTTGTGTACTCAAAAAGTGAGTACACTACTAAAATCGGTCAGTGTGTCCGTCCGTCCGTTTATCCGATAACTTTCGAAAGGAGAGTCGGATCGTGATGAAATTTTCTACACAGTTCAGTCTTTAGAATATCTCGGTCGAGTTCGAAGATGAGAAGGATCCGTCGAGNTCAAAAAAGTGTCAAAAAATGGTAGCAAAATCATATAACTAGCTGTATATTGAACGAACCGGGGAGGAGAAATTTGGGATGTCCTTTTTTGGAAAGTGGCAGTTGAGAAAAAATCGAAAATCTTTTTGGTTTTTTTCTAAAAACAGCTTATTTTTTCTCATAGAGGGTGACGAAAATCTTGGAAATTTCTCGGAAAAACTGAAGTACTGAAGAAAATTTTTGTCATTTCTGAAAGAGCAGATCACGTGCTATCTCCCTATGTATTTATCTCAGTTTCAATACTTCTGACCAAAAGTAAATTTTTTTGAGGGGGGCTTAATGAAAATATGATGTATTTATAGAAAACGGATATCAATCAGTGTTTTCATTCAGATTAGTCACGACAGAAAGCGCTATATTTCATAAGAAGTGGAACATTTTAATCATGATCCAAAAATGTTCACAAAAAAAAATCCTATATTTCATTGTGATATTGTTCATTATTAAACATGTTTGTATGAAAACAAGAAAAGGATTCAGCCACTCACAAGTATGACTATTGTGTAGAGTGTTGCATTCTTGGCTTTTAGAAATTACTCGCGAAACACTCTATGACTTGCGAAGTTTGCTTCAATTAGTAGTAAATTTAAACTAAACCCATATTGAGCTTTTCTTTCTTCTCAAACTGTGAATGAATATCATTGTAGTAGGTCTGTCGTTCATATTATTAGAATGACCAATCTTTCGACTTTTATCTATAGCAACCGTCGATATCTCTTCACTCTATTAGTCAGTAATTTAAAAACTTTTATACCAAATATTAATAGTACAAATTCGAACATTTGATTTGCTCGCATTCGATAAAATTTTTCAAAAAATATGTTCATTTCTCAATAGACGGCTATAAATTTTTCAATACAGAACAGTATATATGTAGGCTTGTAGAAAAAAAACCTTTCTCTATCTATTCATGTATGTATTATCAAATTCTATTGCGTACTGTTGATATATCAATAAGTGGCGCCATCTATTGAAATGTCAATCATACGTAATCGAACTCAATAATACATACACTATTAACTAGTAGAAGTTGTTCTCTAGAAATCTACATCTATTAATCGCTTTAAAATCGTTGATTATTAAAAAAAAAGAAAAAAATAAACTTACAGCAAGAATAATTGTATCTGTATATTTTCCTAATGGCATTAAATCTGTAATTCCTTGAAAAAGTGAAACAATTTTATTATAAAGTATTTGAACTTGTTTGCATTTTGTTCCCGTAACTTTTGAACGTTTTTGTTTTGTTAATAGAGGATCTTGAAATAAAAAAAAAAGAATTTTTTTTAATAAAATTTCAAAAAAATAAATTTTTATACCTTTTGAATGATTATCATTTCTATATAATGGATCATATTCAGGAAATATTGTTTTAGCTAATTGTGCTTTAATAAATAAGGCTGTATTTTCAATAACATGTTCAATAAGAATTTCTTTTGGAATATTATCTGTTGTCATTATATTTAAACTTATTTCACAAGCATTTGCACACATTGTTAAACGTTCAAATACTAAATCTCTCCATATACGTTCTTCTTCTTCATTTGTTTGTTCATCATTAATATCATGTTTAAGTATAGGACTTATTTCAATACCTTGTTTAATACGTAATGATAAAATTTCTAATAAACGTTTTAATTTCATTCTATCAATACGTGACATATATGTTGAAAGTTTTAATTTTTCTGATAATATTGCCATTTCATCTAATGTATGATCAGATAATAATAAATCAAGATAATGATCATCAGGTGTTTGTTCAAATTGTTCATGATGACGTTCATAATCATCATTAAATATATCTAATAATTGTATAAAACGTTGATATGATGTATTTTCTTGTGGATCAGCATCAATATCTAATGCTTTACGTGCTAAACGATCTCGTGTTTTTTTATTTAATGCACTCATTACATCAATTGAATTATTATTAATTGAATTATCATTTGTACGACGTATACGTTTTTTTAATGGTTGTTGTTCTTCATCTTTATCAATATCATTTATATCATCATCATCATTATTATTATTATTATCATCAATATCATCATCATCTTCTGTTGATAAACTTCGAATACGTTTTTTCTTTGGTGAATTATTTAAAGATGTTGTATTACTATTTCCTGAACGACGTTGTCGAAGTAAACGTTCACCAGAATTATTATCAAGTGAATAACCATCTTGTAATAATTCTTTTATTAAATCAGGTGTAAAATCAGCTGGTAAATGATTTAATTGTTGAGGAATGTTTGGTTTAATTGAACGTTGTTTTAAAGGTGATGCAATTTTTATTGATACTAAATAATAATGAACAGGAATTAATCAATAATCTATTGATCTTATTATGGAAAATATTTCTTATCTAATGAATATTGAAGTTTCAAGTGAAAAAAAAACTTGATGCAATGATAGAAAAGACAAGCTCACTTATCGTGAAGAGTCTATGAGAAATGAAATTTATACCGTTTTACTTTACGGTTTTTCAAGTCATCATGACTGTCGTAAATTTTACTTCCTCTACTCCATATTCACCCTAAAGGGACTCATGAAAGATAATTATAACATATAGACCTACAGTTATAATAGTGACAACATAACTACTTATATATTCTGTGAAGTTTATTATTACTTATTGTCAAAATTATAGAACGAAGTTTGAGTAGAGAAAAGTTAAATATGGATTTATGCTCATCGTGAATGGTATTCAAAATAAATTTTTCGAATTTCATTGTTATTACTAATACAGGAGAATCTAAGAATGTTACAGCTATTAACACTAGAACTTCGTGTACTTTTGTAATACCCTTCAAAAAGAAGCTATCCCACTGCAATGAAATATTCTAATGGTTAATAAACAAGATGAAGATATTAATAAATATTCTTTAATGTTTGAAATTAATCTCAAGAATATTAAATAAATCATTTAATAACCGACCAATAAGATCGTATTTATTATCTATCAAACAAACCATACTAAACTTATATGTTCACAAAGTTCGAATGATTTGTATTTCTATTAGATTCTATATTTCTTATAATAAATATGAATTATACTAAAATAAATCATTAATAGGAATAAGTAAAAAGCTGTCAGTATAATTCCTACGGGGTTAAAATGTAAAACACGATGTATATGTTGTTGTTAATCACAGACAGATTGTTTTATTCTATCTATCTTGGGATATATTTTTTCATCCCATCCTTAATCCTCTAGAAATGCAATAAGGAAGTAATTCATAAAATATTACAACGAAACGTCATTCATATACGATCTCAATGTTTGTGGAAAGTTCAAATTTTTACCTCTATATTTTTAACATTCTTTTTCTATCGTGTTTCATTAAAAAAAAAGAAGATATAATTTGACTATCAAGATTATTTGTACTGTTCTATTTGAGTAAGTTATGTTTATACTGTGAACATACCTGGTTCTTCATTTTGTATTTTATGAAGATTAATTCGTATTTTTTCTATTTGTTGATGTGGTTCTTGTTGAACGACTGGACCTAGTTAAAAAAAAAAAAAGAAACAAATACTTCTATTTACATTTATATTCATTGCTTACTAGGTTTCTTTTTTGTCATATCTTCGTTTACATTATTATTTGTTACTGATTGTGAATTTTTATTTGTATGTTCATGTGATTGCAACGTATCGATCTATACAAAAAGAAAACATATATATATATATTTCTGTTTCTAACGGTTTTCTATAATGTTATATTCAAAAAATAAAAATGTAATAACACGTGGGAATGATGTTTTCTTTTCTAGTATAAATTGTTCGATAGATAATGATTTATTCTAGCAAATAATTTAAATATAAAATATGATTTTAAAGTAAATGTTTACTTTTTATTTTTCATAATCAAATTTTTATTTGTTGTTAGATTTAGAATTCGTTATGTTTTTTTTTTTTTTTTCTTTCTCTAGACTGAATGGAATAGAATTAGGATGAAAAAAATAGGAACTAATCGTTAGATATAAAATTATTAAATTCTACTAGATTTGATATTTCTTTCTTTTGTATATGTTTAAGTTTTATTTGTTCATTCACTTAACGTAAGTATTGTTCAAATGTTACTGTTCTATTAATAGGAATTTATTAATTCTTCATCGATAGGAAAAACAATTGACTATTCAATCTTACTCTAGAGACACTATTCATAATTACAAAGACATTGGATTTCACATTAGAAGTATATATGTATATTTTCAATCGAGTAAGGAAAGATTATTAAAATTATTTTACCTGTTTTTGATAATTTGATTCATTGTTTGATGATTTTTGTGGTGAAACTTGTTGATAATTATTTGAAGATGATGATGATGATGATGATATCATTGACGGAACAGCCGTGATTGAACCGACTGGTGATGATATAATTGGATCTTTTGGTAAAGGTGGTACAACAGCTGTTGGTCGTGTTGGACGATGAGTAGCAAGTGGTGATGTTTGAGGATAAAGTATTGATTGACAATCAGGTGTTTGATTTGTTGTTGTTGTTGTTGTTGTTGGCATAAAAGCACGTGAAGCATAAGCTAGAAATTATTGAATTAAAAATTTCCCGCTTAAATGTTTTTTGTCTTTTCATTTAACTTACGTGAAGTTGTTGCTGATGTTGTTGTTTGACTATATCCACTGTTATTTGGACTTATTTGTTGTGGAAAATGATGATTTGAATAATGAGTATAAGGATTAGTTGGTGAACTAAATTGAATAATAATTACAAAATAAAATATGTTTAAAATATACTAACGGAAAAGGACGTGAAAATGATGATGAAGGATGACAAACTCCTAGAAAAAGAATATTTTCAATAATAAAAGATCAGTATTTTTTCATACCATTAAAAATATTTGGATTATACTGTATTGTTGTTTGTAAAAGAGGAGGTAATGTATGTATTGGTGGTGGTGTTGGATCTGACGGATGGCGGAGTGTACTAAGAAGAGAAAAAAAAAGAAAGACTAACATTCATTTTCATAATATACACAATTATTTATCTACATTGATGTAACTGTATTTGCAACGATTGACAATTTATGTGCAAGTTGTTGTGCCAATGAACCATCACGACAATTGAGTAACATTGATGTATATTCAGCTGTACTACTATCAACAATTCGTTCCATACCTGGATTAGCCAATGATAATACTGGTAATTCACGTACGACTAGAAAACATAAAGAAATATAAATGAAAATCTGGATGTTTTTCTTTTTTCATGTAAGATTCGTACCATCGTTGAGTGGTGCTGATGTTATTAAATTAATGGATGGTAAATCCATAATGAATAATATTCTTGTTATGACGCCTTTTGTTTTGTTTATTTAATTAGACTAGAGAAAGATATTAAAGGATGACAGATAACCGAAATCGTACGGATATACAAGACGAAAAGAAGCAACGAATAAATGTTATTTATTGTTTGTTGTTTTTTTTGTTCGTTCTTTAATCGCTTTTTTTTTTTTTTTTTTTTTTTTATTCACGTCAAAGTAATTGACCAATAGAAAACAGTGGGAACGGGAGAACAGAAAAAAAAAATTATATTGTCATCTTGCGACATCGCGTTCTGTTCTTTTTCTATTGTGCAAAAAAAACACATATTGGTATTAGAGAAAGTACGACGCACTTTTTTCAGGTCAATGCAAAATGTGACAAATCACATTTATTAATTGAAATATTTTTCATCTATTGTAACCAAGATAGACGTGATAATTTCATAATCAAGACAGAAAACTCGATATAAAAAAAAAAGAAATTATTTTTGAGATAAACATATGAACATGTTGCGGGTGTGGATATTCTCACCATTCACATTCACATATTTAAATTAGGTGTTTTATATAAAATAAAATATCATATTTCTTATAAGTTATTAGTAAAAACTAACCATCATTACGGGGCTGGCCCGAGTCAGCAAACATTGGGGGGGTTGTTTCGGATATTTTTAATGCGAATAAAACTTTTTTCTCACACTATTCACGAAAAAAAAATTCATTTTTGCTGGGTAAAAACGAAAATTTTCGATTATTGGTGGGTTGTCACAACCCCCAAAACCCCCTATCGGGCCAGTCCTGCATCATTATCAGTCTTGAAAAACACTGTCAAGTAACATGTGAATTAAAAAATTACTTGTAAGAAAGATTTAATAAAAGAAAAAACTTCTTTTTTTGTTATTTCTCAATATACTTCATTCTAGAAAAGTATGTCTAACATTTTCATTCATCCGAAGTGAAAAGAAACTCTGGAGTTTAATTCTTGAATATCTCCTGAATGATTACGTATGAAGACGTGAAATTTTCTTTATCAATGTATTTTCATGACCTCGTATTCTGTCGAAGTTAGATTTTTGAGGGGAAAATGTCCTTAACGCCCTGCTCAAATTCAAATGAGGAGAATTATAATTTTTCCCATTTTTATAAAGCTCGTATTAAACGTTATATCATAGAAACAATCAGACTGATTATTTTAGGACATACGCTTTGAAAAAAAAAAACGATTCAAACTACTTACTCTATTCTCATCAATTTTCTACTGACCTTTCTATTATATTGGTATTATCTATCATGAAAACGTCGATTTCAATATGTTGCAATGCGTAATGTTAGATGACATTGCAATTTTTTCTCTCTATCTATTCATTCTTCTAAGTAATGACTTTTTTTTTGGCACCATCTTTAATAAATAACTAAATTCGTAAACTAAATGGAACCGCCAAAGTGGCTGGCTAGTATTGGTGGTTTGAGCGCACTGTTACACATTGGACTAATTTGGCATTTTTCTAAGAGTTTAAAAATATGTATTCAGTGAGATGTACACAAATTCAAATCGAAAATCTACAGTTTTTGATTGATTATCTCGATATGAAAGTGTTTTTAAACTATATAAAAAGAAAATAATAGTAAGAAAGAAGAAAAATATTTTGTCGAAGAGGAAACAGTGGATTTCAAGACTTCATGAGTCTTCACAACCGAATTATCTGTTATTGTTCCTTGGTTCCTCGCATTAAAGAGCGTCTATATTCAGGTTCAAAAAGTAAATAACAAACCTCAGGGAGGTGTGTCAGATTACGGAGCAGTCGTCTCAAAGAATCTCGATCTAATTTTATTAGCCTAAGAAACAGCATTGAGCACTGTTTACCTCTCACAGATTTATTTTGTATTTTATCACAAGTCAATTTTTCACACTTGAATTCCTCTTTGAGTATCGAAACAAATTTTTAGTCGCTGTTCTGTTTCAAGTCTTTATAGTTCGATGGCAGCAGGTGCGCTGATTGTAAATATCATATTTTTTTTCAAAATTGCTCAGATAATAAGAAAGATCTGAAGTATTGTCTGAAAGCCTTAAACACCAATTTTTGACCTGAAAGTCAATTAAACTCCTATTTACATTCGTTGAAAATACATCCATTTGATGTAGAATGGTTTTCTCTACCAAAATCTATAAAGACTTCTTTGGCATTCAATTTTTTTTCTATCGATAAATGTCGAATACTGTCCCAGTCTGGTCGTTTTGTAGAAAATCTTGATTTTTTCAGCTTTAAAAAGTTATAGTTTCTCCGAATACATCAACAAGATTTTTGTACCGAATATGTAATTCAATGTGCTCTTTCGGACGGCATCGTGTTCAACTTGAAATTCGATATCTATAGTAAAGTACCTTTGCTTTAACTACCTTACTTTAGAGTCAATTTGCGGAGTTTTTGACTAATATTCGACGGTTTTCGAGCAGAAGAATACCTGTTTGATTTAAACAAGATTAATATTCGAACTCGGTACAAAACAATGAGTCGACTTAGATACATTTCAAATTGCTGCGGTGTGAATGGGTGTTGGTGTGAATGTAAGTGAATTAAGAGCACACCCACAAATATGTTCACTATACTATGATCAGTTCATGATAACTGTAATAGAACATTTAAGAAGCAAAAATGACAATAGATGGGAGGTGCTGCTGTCTTATCGCTTTATAGATTTATTCGATCTTTCTGATGATGTGCTGCATACGATTTGTAATTATCGTCATCGAGATGTATTTGACAAATAATGCAAACGTAATCAAGATCTAATTGATTTTGTTGTCGGAATGAGTTCATATTGGTTTTGTACCAAGAAGTGTTTTCCGTTGAACAACAATGCGATGATTTAGATCATACATTTGTTGTCTGTCTCGATTCATACATGAACAATGTTTTCGATTTCTTTTTAGAGCCTTCGGATGATATCTTGTTAGTAGTACACGGGCTTTATGAGTAGTGCAAGACTTTTCGTTGCTGTGATGATTGTAGAAGTCCACACTTGTTAAGTTCAGCATGTTTCTTGCAAAAATGATTCATACCTATGGAACACGTTGAAGTTTCGCACTGTTATCTTGTGAATTTTTAAATTTAAATATGAGACCAAGCTTTCTCATACAGTTGAAAAACACTATTTTTCCAGTTAATCAATGATTTTTCGGTCGGTCTTAAATGATTGGTTCAGCGTCGCACATGTATATTGGATCACCGCAAATATCGATATATCACGATTATTCATTATGGTTTGAACGGCGATTTGAACAGTCGTTTTTATCAGTACAATTGCAAGAAATTCAGATTTTATCCTTGATTTTTCTTAAAAGTCTGGTTTATCACGATTCTACGGCAATGCTTTCCTAAATCGTAAAAAAAACAGTGATTTGAAGACCTAGAAAGACTTTCTGAACTATCTGATTAGAAATTTTACATCGAATAAACCACCTAATTATTCATTCAGGCCATTTTTAGATGACACATACACTCGTCATCGACAGACCATGTGTTCCATGCTAGGTAAAAGAACAAAAAAGAAAAGAAAAAAAAGCATTTTCTGTTTTTGTGTTATTTTTCTCTTTGGCATCATGCAAAGAAAGAGAACGAATGTACGATAACCGTCTGCTTCTTCTTTCTCTGACGTTACGTTTATGAATGTTTATTTTTTTTGTTTTGTCACTGACATATATACTGCAAAAACTTCCTATATATATACATATGAGTATTGTGTACTTCTTAAATCGTTCTCTTTCTCCTACTTGCTTTAAACTTTGTAATGTCTTCGAAACCGCAAACCACTCCACGTTACTCAAACGAACGTGGTCTTCATGCTGATCATGGTTGGTTACGTTCATATATCGTGGATGGAGAACTTCAACACAAGAATTCTTTGGACAATACAAAGATTATACATTGTGGTGAAATACAGTTTACATCTGTTGGAACAGATATTCATCTTTCAGAACATAATGTAAACAAATCATTATGGGTTCATTTCATTCAAATATGGGCCAAATCAGTGTTTTATCCAGTGGGGGGGGGGGGGGGGCATGGGACATTTTGCCTCCCCCCCTAGACCGGGTTTGACCCCCCGCAAAAAGAGAAACTTAAAAAAAAAAAAA